CAATGTATTCAGAAGGAAGTTACAATGTATATAAATCGTGTGACGCCAATGTATTCAGAAGAAAGTTACAATGTATATAAATCGTAAGACGTCAATGAATTCAGAAGGAAGTTACAATGTAAAAACATCGTGTGACGCCAATGTATTCAGAAGGAAGTTACAATGTATATAAATCGTAAGACGACAATGTATTCAGGAGGAAGTTACAATGTATATAAATCGTGTGACGCCAATGTATTCAGAAGAAAGTTACAATGTATATAAATCGTGTGACGCCAATGTATTCAGAAGGAAGTTACAATGTATATTAATTGTAAGACGTCAATGAATTCAGAAGAAAGTTACAGTGTATTTAAATTGTGTGACGCCAATGCATTCAGATAGAAATCGTGTGACGCCAATGTATTCAGAAGGAAGTTACAATGTATATTAATTGTAAGACGTCAATGAATTCAGAAGGAAGTTGCAGTGTATTTAAATCGTGTGACGCCAATGCATTCAGATAGAAATCGTGTGACGCCAATGTATTCAGAAGGAAGTTACAATGTATATAAATAGTGTGACGCCAATGCATTCAGAAGGAAGTTACAATGTACATAAATCGAAAGACGCTAATGTAATCAGAAGGAAGTTACAATGTACAGAAATAGCAAAAAACGCTAATGTATTCAGAAGGAAGTTACAATGTATATAAATCGTGTGACGCCAATGTATTTAGGAGGAAGATACAATGTATAAAAATCGTGTGACGCCAATGTTATCATAAGGAAGTGACAATGTATAGAAATCGTGTGACGCCAATGTATTCAGAAGGAAGTTACAATGTAAGGAAATCGTGTGACGCCAATGTATTCAGAAGGGAGATACAATGTATAGAAATCGTGTGACGCCAATGTTATCATAAGGAAGTGACAATGTATAGAAATTGTGTGACGCCAATGTATTCAGAAGGAAGTTACAATGTANAAGTAAGTTACAATGTACAGAAATCGTAAGACGCCAATGTATTCAGAAGGAAGATACAATGAATATAAATCGTAAGACGCCAATGTATTCAGAAGAAAGTTACAATGTAAAAACATCGTGTAACGCCAATGTATTCAGAAGGAAGATACAATGTAAATAAATCGTAAGACGCCAATGTTATCAGAAGTAAGTTGCAATGTACAGAAATCGTAAGACGCCAATGTTTTCAGACGGAAGTTACAATGTATAGAAATCGTGTGATGCCAATGTAATCAGAAGTAAGTTACAATGTACAGAAATCGTAAGACGCCAATGTATTCAGAAGGAAGTTACAATGTATAGAAATAATGTGACGCCAATGTATTCAGAAGAAAGTTACAATGTAAAAACATCGTGTAACGCCAATGTATTCAGAAGGAAGATACAATGTAAATAAATCGTAAGACGCCAATGTTATCAGAAGTAAGTTGCAATGTACAGAAATCGTAAGACGCCAATGTTTTCAGACGGAAGTTACAATGTATAGAAATCATGTGATGCCAATGTAATCAGAAGTAAGTTACAATGTACACAAATCGTAAGACGCCAATGTATTCAGAAGGAAGTTACAATGTAAAGAAATAGTGTGAAGCCAATGTATTCAGAAGAAAGTTACAATGTAAAAACATCGTGTAACGCCAATGTATTCAGAAGGAAGTTACAATGTATATAAATCGTAAGACGACAATGTATTCAGGAGGAAGTTACAATGTATATAAATCGTGTGACGCCAATGTATTCAGAAGGAAGTTACAATGTAAAGAAATAGTGTGACGCCAATGTATTCAGAAGAAAGTTACAATGTATATAAATCGTGTGACGCCAATGTATTCAGAAGGAAGTTACAATGTATATAAATTGAAAGACGCCATTGTAATCAGAAGTAAGTTACAATGTACAGAAATCGTAAGACGCCAATGCATTCAGAAGGAAGTTACAATGTAAAGAAATAGTGTGACGCCAATGTATTTAGAAGAAAGTTACAATGTAAAAATATCGTGTATCGCCAATGTATTCAGAAGGAAGACACAATGTAAATAAATCGTAAGACGCCAATGTATTCAGAAGGAAGTTACAATGTATATAAATCGAAAGACGCCAATGTAATCAGAAGTAAGTTCCAATGTACACAAATCGTGTGACGCCAATGTATTCAGAAGGAAGTTACAATGTATA